CAGCAGGGTACGGTGGACACTTTGTGAATGTGACTGACTATGGCTGGCACACATGCATTATGACCAGGACAAAATGGATGGAGGACAGTAAGGCTACACGGACAATCTGGGAGTATCGTGCGGTGTGGATAGCACAAATAGAATATTGCCAGGACAACACGGAATGGTGACAGCAGGGTACGGTGGACACTTTGTGAATGTGACTGACTATGGCTGGCACACATGCATTATGACCAGGACAAAATGGACGGAGGACAGTAAGGCTACACGGACAATCTGGGAGTATCGTGCGGTGTGGATAGCACAAATAGAATATTGCCAGGACAACACGGAATGGTGACAGCAGGGTACGGTGGACACTTTGTGAATGTGACTGACTATGGCTGGCACACATGCATTATGACCAGGACAAAATGGACGGAGGACAGTAAGGCTACACGGACAATCTGGGAGTATCGTGCGGTGTGGATAGCACAAATAGAATATTACCAGGACAGAGTGTGATGATGACAGCACGGTAGGGTGGGCAGATTATGATTGTGACATAGTATATAGCACATACATCGGATGACACATATAAGCTATGACCAGGACAGATGGCAAGGGTGACAGTGCACCTGGGTGGACAATTGATCATTATGGTTACATGTAGATGGCATGAATGGCATATAGCCAGGACGGAGTACCAGGTTGACAGCATCATAAGTTGGATAATTGAAAATTTTAATAGGAGGTTTGTATTCAATTCAGAGGTATATGGTATCCAGAACAAAATACATGAGGGATGTTGGACCTGACACTATTGAATATTAGCGCAGATCCCGGTGACCCACTGTATTCGACACCTTGCGGATAATGTTCGGAGCCCGCGGCGGTGCCCATCAGGCTCTCGAGACAGGCCACACACTCAGACAAGCGTGAGAGGTCGTGCGCCATATTGGGCAGATTGATAGCCGGCGGTGGGTATGGCACGATGTGCGCATTGAAGTTCTTCTCGGGGCGGAACATTGCGCCGAGATGTGAGCTGAGGGGCGGTGGCTGTGGCACGACGCGCGCGGCGGCAAAGAGTCCGTTCACCTCTCTACCAGCGTCTCCCTCAACGCGTCTGCCGCGGCCACGGCAAAGCTCAGCGCGAGCGCGGCCGCGGCGCAGGCGGAGCTGCTCGCGACGGCGGACGACCTCTACCGGCGGATGGACGCGGACTCGGAGGATGGGATGGGGCTGGCGGACGATGACGAGTACTGGGCGGCGCTCCCCGCGCACATACACAACTTTGTACGGACCACCTGTTCTCAGTCCGCGACGACAGCCAGTGACGAGAGTGCAATCAAGGCGCAGGCTATGTACGCCATCGCCCAGCAGATGGTGCAGTCTGGGCTCAAGGCCGGCACGTTCATGGACGGGGCAAGCTTGTTGGGCAAGCATTGGGCTGTAGTACTCTAGGGTGCGTTAAGGCAGTCTTCTCGCGCGGAGTCACTTAGAAACTCTAGCAGAACATCGCGACAGCAGCGTCTTTGCTTTGCTTTCCTTGGACGGACCAGCAGGACCAGTCTTTGGTTAACCGCCCTTCCTTGTCTCCGGCGGGCGGCTGGGCGGCGGAGGCTTCGTTGGCCTCTGTCGTTTCGGAGTCGAGATGTTATCGCCGCTGCTCGATATCGTGCACGACGTCTCCGTGCACGCGGAATGCACCAGCCCTAGGACGCGATCATGACCGTCGACCCGATTCGCACGTCGGTATAGTCGAATGTTCTCAATTGTGAGTCCCCCTCTGCCCACGTTTTATTGTGTATTCGCAGCTCATTGCCATATTTACGAAGGCGTGAAACACTCCACGCCTCGTGCGCCACAAAGGCCTGTATCACCGGCGCGCTACGAAGAACTGCGAATTCCATGGCCATGACAATCTTCAGCTTTCGGCATCTCGACAGACTGCAGCACCTGCGCGCCTGAAACGACCACAGCGCCCTCGCGACTTGGCTACGACGTTCGCGCACCTCGAAGAATCATGGGTTATGCGCGACTCCAGAGACTACGACACTCAGGCACCTTCAAGGGTTGCGGCGTCGGCGTATATCGAAGAATACGACATACGCTCACCCTTCAGGGCTCTTGCGGCCATCCCTCAAGGCTCTTGCGGCCACCTCTAGGGCTCTCGTGCCCACGTACCTCGATTGGCTACGACATCGGCCCATCCAGGCTACGACATCGGCCCGCCTCCAAGACCACGACGCAAGCGTACCTCGAAGGGCTACTGCG